GTGAGGATGGTCCACAGAAAAATCCTTTGGGGATGGAGAGAGAAGTCCGGACTCTGGGTGACACCCCTGCCCCCCCCCAAGCATTTCACTCAAGGGCAATGGACTGTGATAATCGTGACATTCCCCACAGTCCCCGAAATAACATTTTCTTCTGTGCACCTGAAAGTAAAAACTGACAACATGCAACCCTGGAGGAGGGAAAAGATGTCACAAATCTCGGTACCGCTAGATGTAGAAGGAAGTCTCTCCCCTCAGGTTCTTGAAGGCAGAGCGGGGGGCGGCCCGTCTCACGCGTCCCTCTGGGTGGGACAGTGAGAAGGAAGCACCTTCGCGTCACAGCTACGTAGGAAAAAGTATTTCTAAAATCAAGGGCAAGAAGCAGTGTTCTCGTGAGAACCGATCGCTCTGGCACGATACCTTGGGAAGCAAAAATCCGAAACGCGTGCGGGGTGATCCAACGCCGTGGACGTAAGAAAGCCCAAGAGATAAAATGGGCCTCCTTCCTTTCTGCTTGGAGGACTCCTGGACGCGGTTCCTGTAGCTCGTTAGCCATTAAAATTATTAACAGAGAATTATCTCCGATGGAAAGTGGTTCTGGTCTATGCATTGTTTTCCTCTCCTGCCAAGACCGTGTGCAATTTACTCTGAACATGAGCTATCCGAAGCCATCCAGTGTTTCTAAGTAGGCTTGGACCCGGTTCGCTGACTGCGGCCCAGCGAACCACCCAGGGCCGAGTGGCCAAAGGTCCCCGCTACATAATTTATTTAGAACTTAATTGAGACTAATTGCTGTCTCTTGTTTGCCTGCCCGAGGAACATCTGCCCAGCATCTGCTGTGACACCATGTGGTTGGGATGTTGGAAGCGTTCTGGGAAGTGAACAAAGGGGCATGAATATTTCATTGTGGATGTAGCCCACTGTAACTTTATAGGAAACTCCCAGTGGTTTTATTAGCCTGCCGCGTTAATACGCAGTGTCTCTCCAACGTGCGGGAGCCGAGGTTTGGGATGCGCTCAGGACAGGCTGCCTCAGTGACACCCACCCCCACGGAGGAGGGGATGGGTGGCCTGGGAAAGCTGCAGCTGAGTTGATGTATTGAGAGGGGTGGCTCAGAACCCAGACTGGTCTGTGAGGTGCCCACGAAGGGCCTCAGTTGATCCAGAAGGGGTACTCAGATGATAACAGGTTGGCCGTGTATGACTGAGCGTTGGCACCGAATGTGAGAAACAAATGAGCAGGAGCCATTCATCCCATTTCACAGATGGAAAAATAGAACCTGGAAAGAGATTCATGAGCAAGGTCATCAGAGACTTAGCCTGTGAGCCCAAACGAGAACCAGCACTCTCGCCTCCTAGGAGGCTCTCAGCTGGAGGAGGTGAGGATAATCTTGGGGAAACAGTACCCCTCAGGGGATTTTGGGAATCACAGAAGAGCCAGAGGTGGGGGGAAGGCACATCTGGGACCTAGAGAGGAGCTCCTGGGGGGCAGGCACATGAGATCGTCCCATAGACAGAAATGAGGAAGGTGTTCCAGGCAGAGGGGCAGTGTCTGCATCGCACCTCCAGGTCAGGGAGTAGCAAATGGTCCCGGAGAGAGGAGTTCCCTTAACTCGATCTGTCCTACTTTTCATTTTCCTTAGTCCAGAGTCTTAGTTTTATTAACGTGCATATATTCCTGAAAACATCTGCAATCCTTGGTGGAATTATGGATGAGTGTGGCTGAAGGGATGTCTCCATTATCAGGCGGGGCCTTGAGTGCCAGGCCCAGCATGCGAAAGACAGGAGGCACTAGGGAGCCCTTGAAGGTTTTGGAGTAAGGACGTCGCATGACTGAAGCTGTGCCAGAAGCACTTAGGTTCCTTAGGAGGGAAAAGAAATCACTGGGGAGCCTGTTAGGAGGCTGTTACATGGGTGGCCATGGGAATGGGGAAGGGGGACAGGTCTGAGATCCCCATGGGGGTTGGCTTGGTGGCACTTAGCCACTACTTGAACATGGCTCAGGGAGCAGTTCGAGCTTACCTGCAGATCTCACCCTGAGTGGCTGGTCTCTGGAAAACAAGGGGCCATTGGGCTTTGGCAGTGGGGGAAAAGGAATGGCTTGTGACCTCAGCCACCCAGAAGCAGAGGCAAGTGGGACCCCCTGCTGTCCTCTGAGCTGTCCATCACACAGGCCCAGAGCCCACAGCGTGGAGAGTCAGAGGTCCCCTTATTCAAGGTATCTGTGGAAACTGTGGCATAGGTAATGTCTGCCCCCCAAAATTAAATAAAAGTGAGCCATGGGAGCAAAATTGCCAAAGCAACCCAAGGAGGGGGCCGAGATGAACTTGGAGAGTAAGAGAGGCAGCCACGGTCAAGCACGAAGTGGGA